TGCTGCTCGAAGAGGGCGCCGAGAGGGAGCCGAGAGAGAGAGCCGAGAGAGAGAGCCGAGATGTACTTCGGCGCGGCGGTGCTGCTCGAAGAGGGCGCCGCACCGCCCCCGCTCGCGCGCCTCTGCCCCTCGGAGGCGCCGACGCCTCCTCCCTACCCCCCCCCGCAGGCGAGCAAGCCGTCTCTCGGGCCGGCCTGCCACGACGCGTCCATGACAGGTCCGTGACGTGTCTGCTGTAGGCGAGCAAGTCATCTCTGGCGGGAAGGTTGGCACGTGGACGTACTGGGCGCCCGAGCAGGCGGACGCGTCGGTGGCGTCCTTCCAGCAGATCGGCGTGTGTGTGTCGGAACTTGCTCGGGACCTTGTCGGGACCCTTGTAGGCGCCAGACGACCAGCAGAGATCTCGGCTGGATCTCGGCTGGATCTCGGCTGGATCTCGGCTGGATCTCGGCTGTAGGTGCCGTACGACCAGCAGATCGACATGTGGTCGGTCGGCGTCATGCTCTACATTATGCTGTCTGGCCGACACCCCTTCGAAACCTTTCCGGGCGAGCCCGAGTCACAGGCGCCGCCGGCCCGCCCTCGCCCGGCCCGCCCGGCGGCGAGACGCGAGGGGACGATTCGTGGACATGTCCCCGACACGCAGGTGATGGGCCGCATCTTGCGCGCTGAGTACTCCTTCGACCCAGCGCAGTGGACGCGCATCTCCGGGCGCGCAAAGCAGCTCGTCCGGCAGCTCCTCGAGCCAGACCCGGCCAAGCGGCTCACCGCGGCGCAGCTGCTCGCCCACTCGTGGGTGCGCGGCGAGGACGTGCCCGAGCGGCCGCTGCCCGACACGGTCGAGCGGCTCCGCGCCTTCAAGACTGCGTCGCGCGCCATCCACGGCTCACTGCTGATGGCGGCGCTGCTGCACCAGGAGCGGAGAGGGAGGCCCCTCCTCCTACCCTCGCCCACCCTCGCCCCTCCCACCCCCCTCCCACCCCCCTCCCACCCCCCTCCCACCCCCCTCCCACCCCCCTCCCACCCCCCTCCCACCTCCCTCCCACCCTCGCCCCGCCGCCCCGCCACAGGAGGACGTCAAAGAGCAGCTGCGCCAGGGCACCCTCCGCGCCTCCGGTTCGCAGTCGCAGCACGACAAGCTGCGCCGCTCGCCGACGGAGGGAGTCGGTATGTTCACGCCCGCCGCCGA